ATCGGCTGAATGCGCGGACGCTTACCTCGACAGCTGATCGCCATCAAGAGCACCTATGATGACGTCTGGTCGCATGGCCTTACCAGCCATCATCGGAACATACCATAAAGATGCGTCACGGCTATCGAAGATCTCAGACACACCAAGCCCCTGAGAGATGAGCGAGCAATAGAGATGAAAGCGCGTGCAGAATTTCGAGTCGATCACTGGTCGGGTTATTCCCAACAGCCGCAGCCTACCTCCAACATTCGAACTTTTCTTTCGTCCTTCAGGTTACATGTGCCCATAATGTGATGACCGCGCCTCGAGAGAATGGCGATGCAAGACAGGCCAACACCGCCGGCAGCGGAGTGTACGAGAACCGTCCGGCTGGGGCCTCGGTCGAGACCAGCGCGATAGTCAAGGGCTAAGGACAACGCTAGGGTGGGAAAATCCAGACGCACGACCTACCCAGAATTGACGTAGCATAAGACATGGGAAGCGCTGCTGCAACTGCTGGACCGATATTAGGCGGGACCTGCATCGTTACGGTGTGATAACGTCATGGAAGAGCGGCTTGCCTTGCAACAGTAACTGGCTGGCAGGAGAATTGTGGAGTGCAATCCGCTGGCACCCAGGGTGACGCAGCCCACAACTTCGCCTGGCTTGACGTGGTGAACTCTGATGATGGGAAAGCCAAATATCGCATCTTCTATGGCTTCAAGGAGAGCGCCATTATGGAGAGTAAGACAAAGAAAGTAAACGCTCTAGTCATAACTCACCCTTCGCCGACAGCAGTGACTACTCCTGAGAGTTCACCGCCGAAAAATGACATGGGCATCGCTCCGGTAGCTGCGAGAGCATCCAGGAAAGACAGACCCCAGTACTGAGCCCTAACGCGTACGGAGCCTGAAGTAAGGGATTATGAGGACTAACACCTTCTGGAAAAAAGCTGGGCCTTACCGGGAGGAACGATGCCGTCGTCGACTCGAACAGGAGCGAAAGTTGCATCCAAGTTACCGTTGCCAGACGGCGTTATGACGTATTCACCATATTGTTGGGGAACACTGTGTTCATCAGGGATGTCAATCGGGCCGATCATTGGTCGCATGATTCCCGAGTTCAAAATGCGGCTCCTCACGTCGTCGATACCGAGGGTCTGAGCTTCTTCCTGGCGATAGACATAGAGGCTATTCGTAGGCATTGTCGTCTGCATAGTGAAGCCTTCGAACGTGATCCACTGTCCAGAACTCGGTTGGTGAAGGACCAAGTCGAAACTGCAAGCCAGCACGTTGACCCCTGACTTCTTCACCACGACTTCCCAGTCAGTGCCGCCCTCGCCGTCAGGAGTTTCCGTCTCGAAATGGACGCATCGAATGGCTTTGGGGTACCCGCCGAAAGCGGAAGGGTCCAGTAGCGCACAAGCGTGAGTGCACGCATCCATCACGGCGGCCAGGTGTCGTCCATCGCTCACCGTGGCCACGACAATGCCCTCACATCGTTTGGCAGACCTCAACAGTCTGAACGATGGGCCATAAGGGAATCCCGCATCAGCAAAATGCTGGTAGAGATCAGCAACATCAACCTCAGTCCAACTGTCGCCCGATCTGGAGCTTGATTCTGTCAGAGCTCGACGTACGTAGTTAGGGCCAACACGCTTGCTCTCTTTCCTGGTCGCAGAGGCATACACAATTTCCCCATCCCGGACTTCACCGCGCGTTGTTTCGATATGCTGGCCTTTGTCAACCCAAAGCACTTTGTGGAAGGCCACCTGCTCAAGACCACCAGTGGAAGCCCTAGGGTATCCTATGAGCCACAAAATCATCGCCGTCGCGGGTACAACAACGCCGCCCTCCGTTGCATGATCGATCATCCATCTCAACCTGCAGTTTGCGGCCACCTGACCAATGCTAGGAACCCAATCAGGACCAGGTTTAGGCAGGAGCTGAGCCCATAATGGAGCCTCTCGCGGTAGACCTGCAGCGCTGAGATAGTTTTGCCAGTCAGAGATATTCGCGACCACTACACTCCTCGACTTCAGATGACCATCGACGAGACTGCTCAAGAGGTTGCCCATGGCTTGGAGACCCTCACGAGGCTGTAAGAAGTGCTCCCCTGCTGTAGGATTGATGTTGTATTTGGCAGACATACTGCTCGCGATCGATTTAGACCAGCCACCCCATTGAATAGACAATACGTCAGCTGAAGACTTCTCCGCGAAGTAGTCGGAGGCGGAGTTGGCGGCTGCGTAAACAGACTGCCCAGGATTGCCGAATGCGCTTGAACTCGAGGAGAACAACACGTACCGAGGACCCGATCCTAGCGCTTTCACGAGATTCACTGGGCCGAGAACTTTCGCGGCAACAGCTCGGTAGAGTTCTTGATAGTCAGAGGGAGCATTTTCAACAACAGCATCTTCCACCACACCCGCACAGTGGAAAACGACAGTCACCATCCCACGATACTCAGATACGGCGTCGATAAGGGAAGCACTGTTACTGACGTCAGCGATCCGTACGTCGACCGGGCACTGCAGACTGAGCGAACTCAGCGACGAGGAGGCTGCTCGGCCAAGGAGAACGATCTTGTTGCAGCTGATGTTGTCAGCCGCCCACTTTGCAACGAGTTGCCCAAGACCACCAAAGCCGCCCGTAATCACAATGACACCATCACCGAGCTGCTGGCTGAGGTCAGCCCTTGGCGTCGCTGGCGGACTACGGCAGAGTTGCCGAAGCTTAACAGTACCATCTGCCACTTTGTACTCCCCTAAACTGGGCAACTCGATGAACGAGGGCAAGTTCTTCATATCGAGAACTCGGACAATCCTCAAGCCTAGGTTGGAACCATGTTCGGACATGAGCGACCTTGCGAAACCCACGACTGAGCTTGCACACTGGCAGTCACGTATCACCAAGAACGTGTCCATGTGGGAGAGCAGACGGCCGTTCGGTATCAAACTCTCCTGTACAAACTTGATAACATCGCCGAGGAGACTTATAGGATCACTATCGTCTTCGGCGTCTACCACTACGATGGCTCGACCGAGCGACTTCACCACGACGTCGAACTCAGATACATCTCGGCACCACATGACATCCCCGCAGCTCGGAACCCGTCCTAAGAGGCGGATACCAGCGAGCTCCCTCGAAGGTCCATTATCAAGAGAAGGAGGAGTTACCGGAAGGTCTTTCCAGTCCTCAATGTACATCATACTGGTCACGTCAGAGGCAGACGATGCTGGGTGGGAGTCTCTGCTGGTGTCTCGATCTGCCGGCCAGCACTTAGTTCGTCTCCAGCCTCTCGTCGGCAATGAGAGAACCCTCGACAACCCCTCTTTTTCGGGCACCGGTGCTTGGATAGGATTCCCTTGGACCACATTGCACCGCGCAGGACGTCATCAGTCTTGTCGTAGTAGCGCGCCGCGCATAGGACTGCGGCGCTCGGCACACATTCGCGAATAAGAGTTCTCATGCCCGCACCAGGCCCCACATCGATGAACATCGTTCCACTTTCGCCGGCCTCCTTCAGGGCGCGTCCAAGCATCACCGTTCGTCTTGTCTGGCGGCACCAATACCGAGCAGAAGCGAAATCGCACTCGCCATCGACATGCGTGGCGGTGCTGATGAGGTTGTACTTGCAGGGTTTCCTAAGGTCCGGAACGAGGACTGGAATCTCCTTCTCCAATACGGCCACTGCTCGGTCAACGTATGTCGAGTGGAACGCCCCTGCAGTATCTAGCACTTTGCAAGGCACTTTAAGTGTGGCCTTGAAGCTCTCAATCGACTCAGGTGGGCCGCTCACAACGATGCGCTTGTCAGCATTCGCGCAGGCCACTTCGACGCCACTCGGCAGCTGTGATAGATCTTCTAGGGTCAAACCATTTATAGCTAACATTTTGCCTGTGTTGCCTTCAGTGATGAGTCTTGCACGGAGGCGCACGATCTGCAATGCTTGTTTTAAAGGCATCACCCCGCAAACAGTCGCGGCCACCCATTCACCCAGCGAAGCACCGAGCAGCTGGATTCGAGTGGTTTCGGGTATGATACGTAGAATGCGCAAAACCGTAGAATAGGAGATGGCGAACAAGGCGACCTGTGCTGTGACGGGATTCGGCTGGCGATGATAGGTGAGGACAGGGTCCTCGCCCAGAAGAGCAACTATCTCGGGTTCGATGAATACCATTCCAGGCTGAGGCAGAGCCAGACCTTGTCCGGGACAAACAAGCGTAACGCAT